TTACGTTTAGGGAAGAAACGTGAGCGTGTGAACTTTGATCGAGATGTTGCATGGATTAGACACTCAAGATATTGAAAAAAAACCACAAGCCATTTACTTTAGACTATGGAGAATCTACCGCCGGCGAGAACAAGTAGGGGACCGGGCCATATAGGCGTGATATCTTCGATTGATTTTCGAATTCCTCTAAAAAAATTTGACCGCCATTACGAGTCGAGCAACGCGACAACACCGCGCAACAGTTGATCGAGGTCGGTAAAGTCGGTGACGATAATTCAGTGCTGGAAGCATATGGACACGTATAACACACACAAACATTCATCTCACTGTTACAACCCCACTACTAGCCGAAGCGTGCGATGTTGCCCGATCAAAATTCGACTGTTACTACTGCAGTCACAAGTCCTCCATTATCTATGAATATTTTCTTGAATTATTGTTTTTGCGACCGGAAAAGTACGCCGTAACACTTCTAATTTGATGGGAAAAATAATTTGTAACATCAATGATTTATTTAGTCAATTTCATTTTTCTTTTCAGCGGAGTTGTCCACTTGATCAATTCAAGCTGAACATCCTTAACGTAAAAAATGCGAGATAATCTCATAATTCTAGATATTATTTCTAATCAACTTTGTTGGAAGAAAACCTTAGTAATCGCGGTATTAAGTAGAATTATTCTGTTTTCACATTTTATTTATAGTTTATTCATATTTCATAGAATGATATTCAATTCTCTTTTACTTGTTAGGCGGGCGTCATGAAAATTCGACGCAAGTCGATTGTACTCATGAAAACCGCCTTAATTTATCAATTCGTTCGAGATATTGCTCATGCTTTTTTCTAGAAAGGAATCAAAATATGAAAATTCTATTGAAAATATTCCCCCACTGTGACTACCTGAGGCAGCTAATCTGACGCTGGACCAAACCTAGACTAGATGTCCTCCAGATAAATGTATCGCGCCCAGATAACTTTTTAGTAGCTTGTACCCATTCCCAACAAGATAACCGAGATATGGAATTAGCGTGTGAATAACCGCCGACGTTAGCACCCGACTCATCAGTGAGTTCTGCCGTGCTACGCGTGAAGTGCAAAACGAGGAAAACGAATGAAAAAAAAATCCCCTCGTTTACGCGAGTCAACGTCGACGGCCACATCAGAACCGGATACCCCAGTGGTGGGTTTTTACCTGCGGTAATTTTTCATTCACTGATATGGATTTTCAACAGGATAATTGCAACTGACGTTATATCCATGGATATTCCATCTCGAAGTACACCAGGCTAATTAGACCGGTGGGTCTGGGGAACTGATTGAAACGCGATATTATTTTTCCGTTTTTACTCCCATTTTTTTTTCGCTTCCAGCGCACGTTGCGAACGGGCTTAATTGACGGGGGTGTATTTTTTTCACCATTGAGCTGCCCCGCGGGGCATTCATCAATTTGCATGTTCATATTTTTTGGACTTATTCATGTCATTCAGCGGCAGTGAGGCCACCGGGGTATTAGTTTCCATTTGATTTTTTTGGATTGTATTTTAATAGTTATCGAAAATTTCAGCTCCGGTGGAGTCACTGTATCGGGATTTTTTTTCCTGTTGTTAAAGGATATACACTGAGAGAAAAACATGATTCTTCTGACTATATTCCATCACCATCGAACTGTAGTCAAAACGTCCTCAACAACTTTTCATGGGTTATTTTACAATAAGTTAAATTTAGCTTATGTTAACTGATAATATTACCCAACAATTTTCAATTATCAATATAATCATCAATGGGATATTTAAATGCCGAAATAATCTATCGACCAGTAATCGTGTCAGAAGTTTGACCATTACATGACAAATCGAAAATAAAATATTAATATTTTATAAAGAATATTTAATGTTTAATATTAAAGAATATTTAATATTTTATTTAATGTTAAGATTTAATATAAAATTAAATCTTGATATTTAATACTTCACTTGAGCGGATTCAGATCGGATGGAGGAATGATGAACCAAAAAATTGCGAACAATTGCAGGATTTGGTGTTATAATTCACGGGTGCTGACTAGTTTTCATTAATGAAAATCCAGCGGCGTGGCTCTCACCCGCGGTCACACCTTGCTAATTAGTGCGATGAGAACAATTAGAATGAAGACGAGAGGGAATTTTATGAAGGATGTGGAGTTGCTAATGAGCATTTTAAGGGGTTGATTTAATTCAACGAAAACTTGATATTCTTAGGGATGTTGAATGGGTTTAAATGATATCAACGATGGTTAAGTATACGAGATTCTCCATAATTACCAGAGAATATTATTCAGGGATGTAAGCGTCGTACACAAATAGGAGATTGCCTTTTTCCCTGTCAAATATTCATGCCTGAACATAAAATCAGGCCTCGACCTCGATTTCATTATTAGAAAGTGATAATGAAAAATATTCATGTCTGAACCTAATTGCTCATTCTGATTTGAATCTATGCCTTGAAGCCTAAATTCAAGTCCCAACCTGAATTTATGTTTTTTTAATCGTTATTATTTTACATAAATTTGTTTTTCATTAGATTTCTATCTGTACCTGAAATTATGAGCCACGCCTAAATTTCAGCCTCGACCTGAATGGATTTACGGATCTAAATTGATGCCGGGACCTGAGTTTATGTCTCGATATACATCCACATTTATACGGGGGTAAAATTTATATTTAAACCTGAATTTATTCCGGGACCTAAATTTATGTCTGAAACAAAAGCTAGTTCTGGACTAAAAATCAGGAATGTAAGCCTCGTACAGAAACAAGAGATTGCTTTTTTTCTGTCCAATATTCATGCCTGAACCTAAATTTTTATTCCGATTTTAATTAACAGCTTCAGGCCGAAGCGTTAATTCAGTCCTCGACCTGAAATTATGTTTGAACCTGAGTTTATGCCCGGATCTACATTGAGGTCTGGACCTCAATTTATGTCAGCGGTATAAATTTCCATCGAAAGAGTATTTGATTGATATCCTATTCAAGAAGAACCAATTGAACCAAACAAAATTGGTGGTTTCATCATTGCGGTTAGTCCACTAAACCCAGATCGATCATCACAGCAAGTCCCTCGCAGACATTCGCCGTTGACGAGATTGTCCGCAGCCGGGTGCGGCTTAATGGATCCACACACACACACACACAAAGTCCAGAGAGTATTGTCCCATGTTCCATGACCACGTTACACATATAAATATATATAATCCACATAACGTCAGATTGATCCGGATGGTGCGTGCTGTGGGCGAGGCCATAGACCGCTTAAACGTAATACATTCGCGGTTGCATGTGATAATGAAAATCATTGAGTTTGAAGTTCTACCTTTGAAAATGGCCCGATGCCCAATGAAGCGATGACAATCATACGTCGACAGTTGGGGTACACCTGGTTGACCTGTCATCATCGTTTGAAGAGATTTCCCCGAGCGCTTTGGGATTATGAGGTTCATGGTTTGTGGACATCATAACATGATTGTGGATTTGATTAAGTGATGGCATCACGAGTCATGGGGGTAGGCGACACAACAGGAACTGCTTCATTTTGGATGGGCTGAATCAGCGCCAATGCATGTGTCTTGAATTTTTTTAGGTCAGGACAATTGTCATTGAACTCAATTAGACATGAATTTACGGAGTTCTCGGGTGTGTTGTAACACATGTAAATGAGTGGATGAGTGTTCACGAATAGGTCGGACTATATCGGACACCTGACTCCTTCGAAATATGACTTATAAATTATACTATATTGTCCATGCATAGAGACTAAAATATACTCCGGCTTGGATCAGGTTATTCTGTGTTGTACTTCTCCTTTCCTCTGTGTATTCGTGTCTGTACCTAGACCTCAATCCAGTTTTGGACCTGAATTCATGTCTCGGCTTCAATTAATGCCAAGACTCAATTCGTCCTACTAAATGATGGAAATGGGAAGATAAATAATTGGAAAGGTAGTGATATTAAATTTTTACTTTTCTTTGATTATTAATGTGGCACGAGCAAGAAATGTAAATTAATACCTGGACCTAAATTTATGCCTGAGCCTGATTTAAGACCGAACCTACAATTTCAGACTTAAATTTATTTCTGGACGTAAATCCCAGCCAGCATTCAACAATGCGACCTTGACGTAGATTCATGTGCAGACCTGAATTTTAGGCTTGGGCTTAAATTCAGGTCCAAACGTGAATTCCAACCTGAAGTCTAGACCTAAAATTAAGCCTGGATTTCAATTGATGTTGGAATGTAAATACAGGTATATACCTAAATTTAAGCCTAATCCTGAATTTAATCCTTCACCTGAATTAATGTGCAGGCATAAATTAGAATTTGAAGTAAGGACCTGAATTCATATCTGGACCTAAAATTTCAGCCGGATTTCAATTTACATGTGGATATAAATGCAGGTTTAGACCTAAATTGTTACCGCACCGTGAACTCGTGCCTGAGCCTGATTTAAGACCGAACCTATAATTTCAGACTTAAATTTATTTCCGGACGTAAATCCCAGTCAGCATTCAACAATTCGACGTTGATGTAAATTGATGTGCATACCTGAATTTTTGGCTTGGGCTTAAATTCAGGTCCAACCGTGAATTCCAACCTGAAGTCTAGACCTAGAATTAAGTCCGGATTTCAATTGGTGTTTGAATGGAAATCTAGCTCTATACATGAATTCAATTCTAAATTTAGGTTCAAGACTAAATTCAGGTCTAGGCATAAATTCGAATTAATACAGATGCCTGAATTTTAATTTATAACCGACACTGAATTGACGTACAAATTTTAAACGACGTTTAAATTTTAATGATGTCCAACTTAGAACGCCCCGGAAAAATAAAACATTTCGTATTTTCACGCTCACGAAAAAAAGGAAAAATTCTCTCCGATTAATATTACGTAATAAATTATTATAAATGATACCGATAATTCAGTGCGATAAGAAATCCAACTAACTCAATCCAATTTCTGCCAACAGGTACCCTAACGAGAGATCCAACCTTCAGTTACGTTCAATTCGGTGGAACAGTTCACGTGATGAAAGCAGTGATGCACGAGATGCTCCTGACCTTCTGCTCGGGTTACCCGGGTAATCAACTTTACTCAATTCTCCTGGGTCGCCAGCACAAGCTCGAGCGCGGCACCAAGAGCATTCACGACCTGTTGGAACATCGAAAAATTATGATATCCACCATTCAGTCGACATGCTCCAAAGGCACTGGAGTCTCAATTCAACAGAGCAATGTCATCACCATCACCCTCATGGGAGCAATTGCCCTAGCTATTCTCAGGTTCTTTTCACCCACATTCAATTCAGACTGGTAATGACTCCAATTTTACAGAAGAAAAAAAATAATATTTGTCAAATTAAAAAGATTTTAACAGAGTTTTCTCATTGAAAGTTGAAAAGTACATCTATTGTCCAACAAATTCAGCAAATTACTCTTGTATTTGTTGAATCAACAATAAATAACTTTGCCTATATTTCATTCCGATGTGTTCTGATGGTGTGAATTCGTTGGATATTGGAAAACGTTTTTCTGGATGAGCATCTTTTGAAGAGTAGAGATAAGGGAGATAAATTATTGCTAAGAATTACAGATAATAAACGAGGGGGGATTTACTTTGAAAGAATTTCTCCCTCGGAGAGGCTAATCGTCGTTAAATGCGTTAGGTTGTAAATCGATGGTACTTTTTTCCTTCATTCACTGATGATGAAAAAAGTTGTGAGTGATGATAACAATAAATTTCACCCCTCCAATGTTACGTTTAAAGGTCTCCTCTAGAGTATTTATTAATGTGAAAATGCTCGAGATTATTAATATTAATATCATAGTATATGACCCGTACATGAGTCATGTGCGTCTAATATATTATATGTATGATGACAATGAATTGTAGCAAAATGAGTGACTGCGTTCATCTATTGAGTTATTAAAAATTATTGAATAATGTCAGAATATATTTTAATAGTTGAGTTAATAACATTTTCATAGAGTATATCGGTTGAGTTATAAATATTGTCATTCCATTAACTGTGTTTACTATTTACACGTGAAGCATCAATTGTGAATGTTGATTTATTTATTTATTATAATTTAAATGAGACGGAGAGGAGAGGTATGAATAAAGCGTGAAAACATTAAAATTATGGGTGAATTGATACGTCCCTGAAGACACTAAAATACGATATTAGGACGGGTGATGGTGCTTGGGTCCAGTGGCCTCGTACGCAACCAGTGGATTATGTGGCGGAGGAGTCGAGCAAAGAGGGGCCAATAATTAAGGTTAATTGCACGATTAACCCCACCCTCGTTGCACAGACACAGATGGTTTGACATCCTCTTGAGATGCCTCTGTCGAGTGGTTTTCATGATGACCTTCTTCACAAGTTTGTTCTAGTCGTGGTTGTAAAGGGGAAGTATAATAGGGGAGGGTGTGCCTGCACCGCTCAGCGGGTAATACCGCTCACCCGATTTTCTCCACAACCATCAACTTGAAAATTTCTTTCTGTTCCTGATCATGAAGAATTTGATGATAGGATGTGATTGTCGGAAAAATTTCACTTTATTTACCACTTTAAATATGAAAAAAACACTTGGACTTTTAATTAAGGTTTTTGATAGTTTCAAACGCTGAATTCTCATATTAAACTGTGCGAGGGCAAGCTAGAGGAGGGGTTTCAAATCGAGAATTACTTCGATAAAACCAATGAAATAGAAAAAATAAATAAATGAAAATAATTGAGGAAAGGAATATCGAATCTAACAGCAAAAGGGGCACAATAAAAGGGCATCAACGCGCTCGTATCATGTAAAACTTGCACGCTTCCTAGGAAAAGATTCTGGAGACATATGATTTATAAAAATCTCTTGAAAGCAAGATTTCACTCCCTTTTCCCAGCATTGCAAATTCCTCCTGTTCTCTTCCTATCTCGACCCATTGCTGCCCGTTACCACGTCACTGAAACCTTTGTCATGTTGAAAAAGAAGGAGAAAAACGGAGGGAAAAAAACAGTCAGAGGGCAGGTTTGGGGAGAAGAAGGGAAAGGTGGAAGCACAAAAGGCAATAGAACCTGATGCCAGTATCGAGGGTAAAAAGGGAGGAGACGGCTGAAAGGTCCGAGGTTTTATTGAAAAGAAACTGGGAATGGAGTCTTTCTTGCAGGATGGATGAGGATGAGTTCACCTCAGGTGGAATTACTATATTGAGAGGAGATCGGCGAGATTGACTCGCCGGGAGTCAATGCTGGGGGCAAATTGATAAGGAAGTGACGGAGAATTCAAAGTTTCGCGGAGTTGTAGATGAAGTAGAATTGACTTATCTGTTGGTCGTTGAGTATTCAGGGGGTTTGGCCGATTGGTAGGAATTTTTTCAATTTGTTTGTCAAACCGATTCTTCCGAGACTACACTGTTAAAAATTTTACACTGAAACTTCCGATAAGGGTCTTGAAAATTTCTAACAAGTGACGTTTCCACTGAGATTCAGAATTAGGATTCACTTATATTAATCGTGATAATTACTAGTTTGTAATAAATAATCGTCTATAAACGTGGAAAGATGATTAAAAAATTGGGGACTAAAATTTAGTGATAATCTTGAGCTTTCACCAAAAAATTGTTCAGTTACGGTATTCCTTCAAGGTAAATGATCCTACACTCGTGTAGCTAAGGTGAACACATCATTAGTCCAATATTTGTATTGAAATGAGTGTAAAGATGCGATGTTTTAAATTAGATATCAGAAAGTAAGAACTTCAGAATTAGAATTCACTTATACCAATCATGATAATTACTATTTTTTAATAAATAATCGTCCGTAAACGTGGAAAGTCCCATGTCCCTACGCTCGCTCATTTGTCCCAATGCACGTTTGACACATGTCCCTATTCTCGTCTCGTGATTTGAATGATATGAAAAGGTTATATCCGAACTAATTACATCGTGAGTATCCTATTTGGGATAGACCAACATTAAAAAATATCTCGAGGGACAAAATTATATTTCAATTGGACAGTCCAACCTTTTAAATGATTTTTTCATCCGTTTAATCCGTTACCAGTTGACAGTTGGTTGCAAAACGAGCATAGGATCAATGCCATTTCCATTGTACCTATTCTTTTGATTGCCGACATTTCTGGGAAATATTAAGACATTACTATAATTTATGCATTTTTATTGTTTTTTTAACCATCGGAAACCTCAGGCGGGGGATTTTTAATCCCATTTTACTATTGTAACGGAGATATCAACGTTTTAAAATTGTGAGCTTCTTAACTTGCGGCTTAAGAATTCACTCTGTCGTAGCACCAGTTGATGTCGATGGGAGTTTTCTCTCTTATTCTTCAATAAATCACTGTTCATTGGTGTCTATAACTTTTCTTATTACGAGACCGAACGCGCGCTACAGCGCGCTGTAATTGCAACAATCATAATTGACAATCTCAAAATTAAATTAATCATGAATTAAACTTGCTGCCTCAGACGACTGGAACCAATGAGGAATAAGCGTGACAGACTTGCGAGATATCGATAGTTATCGACTTTAAGTGTATGTTCTTTTTAGAATAGGAACTAAAATAATGACTTCAATCGTATTTCACTCTTGATAGACTCTTGGAACTGTCAAAATGAATAAAATGTGATAGCTCACGACATCAGAATGAGCCAAAAAAATGATCAATGATGAATAATTTTTTTTTGCCTTTTTGAATTTACGTTTCCTCGTTGCACTCGACGACTCGACTGGAGTTCACTCGTACTACTTTAATGAAAGATCCCATGGAGTACTTGAAAAGGAAAATTGAAAAAAATCAGAAAAAAAATTTTGAGAGGAATCTTGGGGCATGATCTTGATTGAAGGTATGGGGTGAGATAGGACTGGCCAAGCTGGCGCCAGTCTGGTGTATTTGGAGGGTCTCGTCTTCTCCGTGGAAAATACTTCTTTTATATTTCGCATTCGGTGCGATGAGTCTGAAGTGGCAGGTAAAAAGAGAAGGGTGAACATGCTGTGATTGACGACGTCAGGAGGTCGGTACGCTGCCAGGATAGTGAGAGGGAGGGAAAAAAATAGGTGAGGGTGGAGGGAAAAAAATAAGGGAGTGTGGGTCGATAGAGCCCAGTTGGTGAGCGCTACGAGGTGGTATATAAAAGTAAACACATTTGCTCTTGGATTTCTTTCTACATAAATCTGCCTCGTTACTCCGGTTTTATTCTCCCTGACGCCTTCTTTACGGGGATTTGAGGGAGAGGGAGATTTTTACGCGCTAAATAATCGGTTCATTTTTCATTTCATTTTGGACTGGATGTAAAACGTGATCAGTTTAGTCCGTGAAATGATTTTAACATTTTTTTTACAGTTTTATGAATTATTGAGTTCCTAGACTTTTCGCGCAATTTGATGTTTTTTCTTATTACCAAGTTTTTAGTGTGATTTTCTTGATGATAGGAGAAGAAACAGAATGAAATGAGTGGGAAATTGCTGTTGTATTGCATATAGTATAGTTATTTTTGCTAATAAATTGGCAATATGCTTTCGAATCGGTATTTTGCACATCGCTTCCTCCCATTATGTATAATTCATTGTTTATTTCATTTTATTAAATTGAATAAGATTTCTTTTCAACTAATTTTGTCAGATTTTCAACTTTGTTGAATAATATCATCATCATTATTCTTATTACCCCTTTCTTCTATACAACCGATTGTCTTTTTACGGTTCTCTCTCTTCCCTCAGCCCTTCGATAAAATGTCAATAGAAAAATTTTATTTATACATACTTGAATGAATTTGAATCATCACATTTCAAGAAACCATCAGAAAGCTCAATTTCAGGGAAATTCATGAAAAATTCGAAATTTTCAAGAATCATCATAAAAATTAAATCAAGCAATATAGCTATCGTAATCATCTTTTAACTTCGACTTAATGGCATTAAAACAAACATTTTAAACTATGACTGAATTCATTTGAAGCATGATATTCTGATTTTCCCCGGAATTCTGATTTTCAAAAAATACCAAATTTTTCCAAATTTTCAAATAAATCAAAATAACGATTACTGCTTTTGCCTTCATCTTCGAACTCGGTCAAAAGGACATCCAAACAAATTTTTTAAGCCTTCATTCAATCAATTCAGAACATTTTTTTTAGTTATTGTGGGACAACCGTTTTTCGAAAAAATTCGAAAATTAAAAAATTAATCGATGAATTAAATATTAATTAATGGCGATTGATAAGGCTCAATAATGCCTACATTTGAAAAATATACATTCAATTCCATCCAGTCAGAAGCAAAAAACTGAGAAAATTTGAGTCGAGGAAGTTCTACAGAAAATATCTCAATAGAATAAGTTAGAAAAATCGAATAGAAAAATCGAATTCTGTTGACTTTTTCTATAGAATAATTTGCTAGGATTTTCTGTTAAATTTTTTCGACCACTAACTCCAAACGGAAAAGTTGAATTTTTCAGTCACACCGAATTTCCGATCCATCCCCTTGATATCGGCCAATTCCTGTGAGACCTCTCCAACAGATTATTCGTCACAAAAACTCGTTCCCCTCGATATCCACCAGACAATTTTCCAATTCACTCCAGCGGATAACCCGACATTACATTTACAATGGTAAAATTATTGTCCGTTTGATGAAAATTTTTCGAAATACGAGATACAAGCAATTATTCCATTGCCTCCACTCATTAGTATGCTGCAGTTGAATTATGTGGGCGTATTTCCAGCTTCTGTCATTCAATGGGTAATTATGAGTTGTTATGAGATAATACGCCGCTCGGGAAAATGCACGGGGGGAATTCTTTTTATTTATTTACAGCTACCTTCTTGACTGGCATCCTCACGTACGAATTAAATAATGAGAATTGTCAAGAGGATTGCGAGGAGTACAGCTGAGCGACCGCAGTTACTGCAGCCCCAGTTGTAAATCTTTAATATGCTAGTATAAAACGTTATGTGATTCATAAACTCACCACAGAGTGCTTCGTTTAATTTAAGATTCTTTCGGCATTACCCAGTCACGTGAGCTTTATTTTGTTGTGAAGTGATGTTTTCAATGCATTTATTTCTGTCCTGCGATAATAATGGAATTTTTTCAACAGTTTCTGGTTGAAGTTGGAAGGAAAATAAGAAGTCTAAATCACTATTCATGAAAAGGAAAGAAATTAAGAGCCCTCAGGAGTAAAAAAATCCACTGAAATTCCAGCAAAACTCTGCGCCATGAATTTTCAGTTAAAAAGAAATGGAAAAATATGAAATATGGTTTAAATAATTTGTTCATTTTAGAGAAGCTGGGTAGCACGAGCTGAGCGCAATCTGAAAGTGATAAATAATTTTAAGAAATGTTTGAAAATGGGAGGTGGAGACGTCGCCATTTTTGAAGCCCCTTGCAGCAGTGGGGGAAAGTATCCAAGCAAGATGGCGGCCCAGCCACACCTATCATCCATCTCATATGTTTGAATATTTCTTAAAATTATTCAGTCTCGTTAAATCACGTTCAACTCTTTCCCTCCAATTCTAGAAAAAATAACAAAATTTTCAGACTATTTATTTTTATCCCCCGAGACCTGTTCATCCGACCCTCATTACCTGATCCTCATATAAACTTCTTACTTTCAAGCCCCAATTTTATTTCACCAGAGCTCCATCAACATTTTCGTATTATTACCAATACCTCGATTTCCGTAATTCCCACTCATTTGTTTGTCACTTTGAGTCAATTTCGCTTTCGAAATAATGTTCTCGATGTAAAATTTAATTACAACGTCCCCCTCTCCACTTATATTCCCTTCTTACCCAAACAAATAATTAAAGCCGATCCCTCAGCCCTCATATCCGCAAGGAAATATTTCAGTTTTAATTTGTTTCCGGACGGAAATTTCCTCCACTAAAAAGTTTCTATCAACAATTAACGAAAAATGGCAGCAACAGATGTTACCAGGCCTTGAACAGTGCTCAGATGGTAGCCTTTTTCGCCTCTGCCCACTCCCTTCCACCTTCTGGAAAAACAATTAAAACCAAAGCAAATAAAAAAGTTGAATAAAAATGACCGGAGCGAGATAGAAAAAGGGGAATATTAATTAAACACTGCGGTGTACACCTGATGCTGACAATCTCAACGCCAGTATACCGCTGGAACCTGCATGGTACACAGGACCCTCAGGGATTCATCATGGCGGCAGTGTGATACCCACACCCCCTGGATCGTTAATCTCACGGGCTCTCTCGTGAAACGAACGTAAATGTCGTCGTTCGATTACCATGAAAATCGTTAAATGGTAACAAGAGTCTTGGTTTATGGGTCCCACACTATTTCCCCCTCTTCATCCCACCGCTATCTTTCGGCAGTATTTTGGGATTTAGAAGGCAAATTCCGGAGGATGGGGGTAATAACGCGAGTGAAGAGGTTTAATTAAGAATTAATGGGGAAGAAGTGGGGATTTTGGGATTTTCGTTGATTAATAAATTTTTTAAAATCTGGAAACTCAATTTTTTCATGTTCATGATTGCAACATTTTTAAGTGGAATTTTTTTCGTGTGCTTGGAAAAATCAAAATTTTTCACATTTCTAGTTTTCCAATATTTTGAATTTAAAACTCATTTATATTTAAAATTGTTTCATTTTTGTATGAATAATAAGTGCATATTCATCTTTAATTGTTTTCAGAATTTTAAATTTTTTTAATGGAGTTTTCATCAAATTTTCGATATTTTGATCATTTTTCAAATTAGAAAATTGATGATTTTCAATATTTTTGGATTTCAAAAGATATCACAACTTTTCGGTTCGAAAATTTGTTTACATTCCAATAATTAAAAGTTAAGGTGAAAAAAGTGAGGGATTTTAATATTTTTGTTGATTGAAAAAATTTGAAAAAATTGGAAACTCAACATTTTTAAAATTTAACATTTTTAATATTTCGAAATTGAAAAAAGATCTTCAGTTGAAATTGTTTAACGGTGTAAACATCTAAAAAAGTTCAGATATTGTAGTTTTTATCATAGTCTTAATATTTTGAGAATTTTTCAAACTATTAAATTGATAATTTTCAACATTTTTAAAACCAAAAAAATTAAAAATTTCCAGATTCAAACTTTCAAACATTATAATTAAAGAAACAACTTGGAAATTTTCAAATCTTCAAATATTTCTCTGTCCTATAACGCGAAAAAATGAGAAAAGATTAATAAAAAAAATAATTGGAAAAATCAATAAAGCCCTCCTCCAAGACTTTCATCAAAATAATGCTACAACCTCTCTTATTAAACCCCATTTCCCCAGTATACACGTTCCGTCCTCATCCTCATGTGTATGATCGAGTGGAAGCACTTGTGCCCGATCATCCGTGAAAAATTACGCTCGCTATACCGTGAACAATTGAATCGTCCCGCGATGAGGTAACCACCGGTGGGTCTAACCCCTTGACGGAAACGTTAACGTGGCTTCCATTATCTTAACAAAGTAAAAAAATCCCCGCGGGAAACTACTTCCTTTTTTACAAAAAAATAACTCTGACGTAACGAACCACTCTATACAAAATTAAATAGCGAATTGACCTGAATTGTCGTATTCCAAGCCATTACGTACTCATTTTTTTCAAATCGAGAAATGAAGTTGTAAAAAATCTAAAAACACATTTTCAACATTTCGTTCTCTGAAAGCTTTTGACAACATGTTTTTTATTGAATTGACTCATGTTTGACTTCAGGATTTCCCCAGGTAAGAAACTACAACTATATTAATGTTAAGAATAGTAATAGGCATCAATTAAAATAATTGATGAACAATTTAATAGATAAATAAATAAAATATAGAAAGAAGCTTCAATCAACAATAAGACTAAAAAATTAGAAGTTCTAATTCCGATCCACCTAACCCCCCCCCAT